CTTGGGGATTTTTCCCCAGGGCGCTGTGTCTTATAGAGTGCTCGACTGATCGACTAAGACGAGAGTTGAACGTATTTCGTTGTGTGTGTCTTATTTGACTGTAAATTTAAGTGACTTCCCCGATCCCGTACCTCAATGGGACGAGATATAGAGACAGAGACGAGATTCCCCCTGGCACGTGTGGAGAACCCCTCGGAGAAGATTCCCCCCCCCCCCGTGATAATAGACTGTCTACCAAGTTGTAACGTTTTATTTCAACATTTAAGCATTTCTGTATCAGATATTTAGGAACACCAGGGTTGAATTGTGGTAGTGCTTGACAGATAAAGTGTCCAGTCGCTATCAAAATAATGTACTATAATTAAAGGGTATTGGTGTAACCTAATGGTTTTATAAAGCATATAACCATAATGCAATCAGAAATAGTGTTAATAATGCAAGAGATGCGAACTTCGAAACCTCGAGTGAAAATAATGAAATTAATCGGCGTCCTCCGTATTGAAAATGATGATAAAGCTGATTACCATTTGCACACTGTGTCATCCCATTCGACCTGATGATGATGATATCAAGAAGTTAGAATTGGTTAATTGCCTTCGAAGCGAATTAACGGCGTACACTGCCGTCTTGATAACGTAGCCGATTGAATGTCGTCAATTAGCTTATTGTATCGTCGCCCACTCACTCGTTGCCAGCCATGCGTGCATTCAATCACAGCGAGAATCACAGCGTCTTTAAAAAAAGGAAATCTTATCACATTTGTTAAGACCTAATAATAGGAAGAATTGAGGAAAAGAGGGATTCAAGACATGTATATTTGTCTTTGATAGATGGATATCGTGTATACGGCTAATCTAGAGTCGAGTTTAATGCTGCGTTTTATCTTCTTTTCCTTCCGTCGTTCGAGTATTGTAAAGGAAAAGGAATCTCCGCGATTGCTTTAGTTTGTATGCATAGTAACATTCGAATTCAGAAATATATTTCACTAAGCCTGTTTCAAGCAGTGAATGAGGCATATATACAATAAGTTTGCGTGCTGCTATTAGACAATTACAAACCTCCTGTATCCGAACTTCAAATACGGGTAAAAGATGCTACTAATCCGATGAAACACGCCTTTGCTGATGGAATAACATTGGGACCGTCCTCACATTATGACATCGACATCTTTACTAATTTTACTTGTCATAACAATGATATTTATTAACTCATAATTTCTCATAATTTCAAGAGCAAAGAAAGACAAATTTATAAAAAACAAAATAATATATATTAACGTCTAGTATTCAGACTTGTCTCATTGAATTCTGCTATGGGTAGTAGTCATAATGGAACTCAAATTTTGCTGTTACTACTGGTTACAAAATGATTAATATGTTTCTTTGCTGTGTTACATAAGGGCAGTCTATGTTCACTGTAAGCTGAGCAATTCGTGCTGAAGTTGTTTTTTTTCATTCTGATTACTTTGCTCTTTATTTGTATCCTTTGAAAGTGTGACAGGTTGTGTCATTAAATTTTCGCCCTATTTCATCGGAAGGATAACGGAAAATCTTAATCATAAAATTAACAAATGTGAGAAAATACAATATGATTAAAATAATATCCCGGTTTGTGATTTATTCATTTATTCTTTTTCATTGTTTTTTTTTAAATATGTATTTAATTGTTTATTTTTCCTTTTTCGTATTTAAAAAGTTTCGGTACTCGCAATAAATGTACGTAATAATTATAAAACAATATTTAAAAATATTGTACTAGTAAAATAAAATATATAAAATTACAAAAGGTTGTATGCATAATAATTAGTTGATTTGTATATGCCTCCCAGGCCAATGTCAACATAATCGCAACTAAAAAATCCACGAACTGTATTGTTGGCGTATTTATTATACTGTTTATTTTTTGTAAAACTCATAATGATAATAGAAACATTCATTAGTTCAAGCAGGGTAATATATCAGATCACGTGACTTATACAATAACAACAATTTTTATATCTAATTTAATAAACAAAATCAAAAAAAAAATAAGAGGTCAGACACATCAGGTTATTTTCTATTGTTTATCATTTCGAATACCCACATTTGATCATTTCTATAAATAAATTACAGGAATTATTTTAGTGGCGTTACAAACCAGTCCCCCGTTTCCGTAAAAAAGCCTACCTGACCTATATAGAAGAAGCACAATCTAGAACAAGATTCACCTGTAAGTTAGATGTTTTATACGTTCTTGTGGCTATTTAGAGCAATGTATTAGTCAAGAAGCTAATTTTCGTGAGTTAGAAAGCTGTCTCTTATTTGTCTCTTATACAGTTGTTTTGTAGTATCGCCCATTTCAATCTATAACGAATGTTGGTTATACTTTTGAATACTAATAAGCTTCCCCGCGTATATTGTACAAACGCGACCCACATCATGTAGACACCAAACATATATTTGAATGGATATATATGTTTTCATCGACAGTCTCTATAAATAATTATTTATTAAACCTGTGTATGTCCGTTAAAAAACACAATGATTGCATTTTAGGAAAAATATGACCAGTCGCTGCACCTTGCTTTTTAATTTCAATAGCGATCTCCCAAAATAATGAATTAAGAAACTGCATCTTGGAATTATGTGTGTATTTGTTCTTTTACGAAAGTAAATGATTAAACTGTGGATTATAATATTTCACCCTTTTTTGTAGTAATATTACGATTTTTCTAGTCGTTACAATAATAAAGTAGGTTATTTTAATGCTGACGACCTTTGGTGGTAGATTGAACGAAGGAGATGGTGGTTATAGTAAACAAAGAAAAATGCATTATGTAGTGTATATTATATGATGAGGTGTTATTCTGTGCCCATGGGATGGGGGTAATTCTTCAGTGCATTAATTCGGAAAGTACGTCATGAGAAGCATGTAGTGCAAATAAAAAACATAAAATACTCCGGTTTTGGGGAACTTTTATGTCAATGTGATTATTTATATTTTTTATGTTACGAAAATAACGTATTTGCATATCTGTGTTTATAAAAAAGAGAATTTGTATGGTGTATTTTCATTTCTGTACATTGTAGATCAAGTTCATAATTACAGATACCTATATTGTTTGTGACATTCTTTGTTTGTGAAATTATACAATTAAACCAAGGACTTTGTGCAGTATAAAGCCCATTTTAATAGTTCTTTATTGATTCCCTCTGATTCACAATAATCACTTTTTGTATTTCGTTATTTCAGCGTAAAAATGATTTTATCTCAATCTATTTGTCAATGATATAGATTCAAAGAATAATCATCAAAAAGTGAAATAGACACGTAAGCACTCTGCTTGCAATAGACGATTTGGTAATACAATACATTATTTTTGTTGATTTACTCAAATGATATTTTACTGGCTGGGTATAACGTTAAATAAGCGCTCACCAAGTTACAGGCATAACATTATTACGCATGCTCATTTTTCTAAGGTTGAGTGTTAAAAACATGTGTGTGGTCTGTGTTGGCACAATACGGGAAAAAACTTCCATCAAATTGTAATTAAATAGGTGGTACGTGTGGTGGTATCGTATCGGAAAATGGAGAACAAACTCGTCAAGCATACATATTTGGTACACTATCCATTCGACCATCCTGACACCTTTGAGACAGAATATCAGTCGTCACCTTAATATAATTCATTGACTCTAATGGCAGATGATAACGAGTCGAGCTTCAGTGCAGCTACACAATAACTATTTAATACTAATTAACGAAGTATCACGTGAACATTATATAATATATTCAGAGTGAAACTTGAATAATATAGTTGACAATAGCGACACAACTACTACAATATCGACTACAATTTCCGTCTCGTCTACAGAAAAGCGCGTCTTGAATTTTCAATGTTAAATGTAGTGAGAGAGATGACCGAATACGAAACCATGCGAGAGGACCCTTAGTCGCAAGTTGAGTATACCGAATTCATCATGATAAAAAAATAAAATCTTCTAAAAACCGCCGATTTACATGTTGTGAATGTCGGTTTATATAGAACAGCAATGACCGCTATTTATATTCGTGAACTATATAATTCATGAAATCTTTACATGTACTAATGGGTTTTGTCAGAAAATTCACACAAGACAATGAATACAGAATAGTAAATTCTTTTTTTAACAACATCTTCCTTTGTACAAGCAAACTGACAGGATGTATATACAATTGATTATGGAAATTAGTTATAATCTTCTTACACCTTCTTGTGATACAATATATACTATGCTTCTAAGGCGTTATTGCTACTCTGAACTGAAGCTGCAACAGTGTGTTCACGCATCAATATGAAGTTAATGACGAGACCATTATCAAACGAATGTTGTGCTTCTTCTACCTGTGTTCGCTTTTATTCAATATAAAATCTTGGATTGAAAATTAAAATTATAGCACCTACTTCGCTAGCCAATTTCTTCAAATCAACAGGAAAAAATGAGTCAGTTTTCAATTGTACGGCGTCAGTGTTCGTTTTCATGTTAACGTTACGTCTTCCGTGTCCTTCACAGTCCAATGTCGTACAGTGCCGACGGGAAGGTCCACCCTATAGGGAACGACGAGTGCGGCGACCGGGGTCAGATAAGCGAATAATTCGCCGGAACTTTTATAAAAAAAATATATTTCTTCAATTACAGGCGCGTGTTCGCGGCTGTTTTTTCACGATTTCTTTTCAGCATGTTGTAAAAAATAATGTAATATCTGCAGGGGGTGAAACACGCTACCGTTTTAAATTTTCTTTAGTAAGCGTACGATTGGGTGTTATTGTAAGATGCCAGAGGGAAACACTATTAGTAATCCTAATAAGATTGAAATTCTTTAAAAGAAAAAAAAAGGTCTCAACATTTCACGTTTCAATGGATAACGTATGCGAGCTAGCTAGCTAGAAATTGTCCATTGTTAGCGTACACGCTGTAGTTTGCTAGAGTGTGGATACGGTTTGCTAGAAATTAATTATTTTTAAAATTATGGTTTACCTCAGAATTCCGGAATACGTCTTGTATTCTTTTCATAGCATATATCTCACCAGTGTTCTGTGGATGCACACGGATTAGCTTATGCCTGTTGGAGTAAATGACACACATATATATATATATATATATGCATATATATATGACAATCATAAATATATATATATAATCAACTTCGTGTCACGTTGGTAGTTGTTGGAGGATGGAATACATGTATATTAACTATTCAGCCTGATATATCATGTGTTTGGTTTGCGTTGAATGCATCTTCTAATGGTATGGACATTTCAACATTGTGTTTTTTGCATAATTGATAAGTCATGCTGACACATACTCGTTTGTGTGGCGAATGTTACTACATGTATACACTTTCCAATATACAACTTTTTACAAATACACGACAATGACAATTCGAGTAATTTCCGTAGTGAAAAGAAGGTTAAATTATAGACAGTATATTATACTGTATAGTGTATGCTATACTGTCCATGGTTAACTAGGATAACAACTCACGTGACGATACATCTTGTTTATTTTTTTTTGCCAAATATATTGATTTCAGGTAAAACCGGATTGTGGGTAAGCTGAAATATCCAGCTTTCTGAATCACGACATGTCTCAAATACCATCTTCATCGTATATTACCTCATTCCAAAGTCAGTATGCATATCATTAAGGCTGTAGATATACACTATTACAATCATATTTATTATTCGCGTTGTAATGTTGCATTCTGACATCATTGGCGTCTTGGCGATATTATATTTCAACGTTAGTTGAAAGCATTAGTAAATGGAATCTGAAGAAGCAAATCAAATGGAAAGCTGAAACATTGATAAAAACTAATGTAAATTTAACGTTTATGTACATATTTGCTGCAATTCATGCTAATTCAGACATTTGTTTAGTATATAGTCACAATACCCCCGATAAGTTTTTAAAATGGTCATAGCGTGTGCAACTTTGAGTTCGCTGTTATTGCTAATCGTAAGTAAAACTCGCTGAAATAACACAACATAAATTTAAATGTAGTGACATTCATTGTTTCGCTGCCAATATTTTGTTTATAAAATTAAATGCGCCTTTTTTTTATTATGTCATTGGATCCGTAATCCAGCTGTTTAAATCTGTTACCCTTCGCATCGTAACGGAACATAGTTTACGTACTGCCCCATATATCTATTTCATCTGGTAGAAATTGGATATCAAACTTTCACTGATAAACCGTTTGACTCGGTAAACCTCCAGAATGGCGACACGTTCACACGAGATTGTATTTCAGCGAAATAAAATATATGGATATACGTAAGCTATACTCAAGTTTTACACATTTACACAATCTTAGAAGTATAAGTTAGGTCTTACCTCTCGTATCTTTGCTCTGATCTTACTTCGCAAGTTATTTGCACCAACAAAAACGCAATCACCAACGCGTATCCCATGTTGTTGCGTTGCCGATCAGTGTCAGTATCGTCGTGTGGATCGTCTGCGTCCCTCTCAACTTCGTCTGTTTATAGGAACAGTGTCAACTGAGCCTGTATCAATGTCGGGCCAGTGGTGTTGATCTGAGGTCTTCGATGATATAATACAGCGTAGGAAGGAAACTGAAGACCGGGTGCACTGAACAAATCTCCCACGTTACCGATTATAAATTTAATCTTTCTGTTATTGACCTACGGGGTTGCCTCGTTTTCATCTATCCGAGATTTTGACAGTTACGCCGTGACAAATAGACTGATATGGTAGAAATAGCTTATTCTTAATGTTTCCGCAATAGGGAAGTGAGAGTCACGCGAGAGTAATTTATATCTCGCATATTTAATATGAGAAATTGTGTCTAACTAAAAATAATGATGATGATGATGATGATGATGATGATGATGATGATGATGAGGATGATGAACTTGTTTTAGATAATTTCTCTCACATCTATATAGGAAACCGTTCTCGCGAGCCATCTCAAATGTGTTCAAGTTGTCCGCCGTCAATAATGTTGAGGCTGCCGACGGCTTTAGCGATATCTAATCAAAAGTTACTTTTTGAAATGCTCGATTGATTACATGCATTATTTAAACATTTCTTTATCAATTATTTTATTTGCGATATTCATTGTAGAAACATTGGTTATCTCTTGGTGCACACATGTGTTATTAAGCTACGCTACAGACGTTTGATCGATGTGTTTCGTCACATTGGACGCGTTTAGTATCCGTGCGTTGAATAATCGATTTATTTCAATCAACGATATGATGGAATCATGTACCCGAAACTCTGATATCTGTCAAGTGTACGCCAATCGTATATAATATATGCGTGGTTCCACTCTGCGACACCTCTACTTAAACAAATAAAGCGGGGGAGTCGTCACCAGACGGCCATAGCGTGTCATTGTTTACAAACAAGCGTCTACCCATGAGCCTTTGCGTTTTTAGCGTGTGTTGTTATCATGATTGCTTGGGAATTTAAATTTTTAACACCGAACACCGATGGTCTTGTATTTCAGCGTCGACTTCTTTCAGTCACCCAATTCAGTTGATACTTAGTAGTGACGACTTTGTAACCGTTTCGGAAAATGTATTTGTTCTATCGAGATCTGTTTGTCATTTTGCTATTTTTTTCAAAAATAAGTTTACTGATTGAAATAGGTAACATTCGTGTTCAATTTATCTGTACACATCACGATTAGCGAGAAAGATTTACATACTTTTAGCAGTTTTGTTTTGACGTAAAATGCAAATGGCACCCAGTTAAAAAAATACGCTCGTGCGAAAACTTGACAACTTTCATAGTTATTTCTTCCAAAATATGCTTCAAAACTATAAGAAATATTGTTATCTGTCTCATTCGCTTTTGATGTTGTCTGTTGAAGTTGTTGTCTTCAACTTTAATCAATTTTCAATGATGATCCGCACAGCACAGGAAAATGAAATGTCGTGGCCGTCTAGTCTGTTTCATCAAGTCACTGTATTTTTGTGTTCGTTTTTTGTCATGCCTGTTTATTCTTTTGCATTGGGAAGATGTCCAAGTGACATATTTAAGTGAAGAAATATCTCGTTTCACAATAATCATTTTTCACAATAGTGGCTATGATATCATACTTTACCTATAATCCTTTGCTGGAGAATAAAGATGGTGGACATAATAGTGGTGAAAAGTTTCATATCCAGAGTTATGGGGAAACCAGAATTGTAATTGCATATTACAGCGTATGACATGGTGGGAGTGTGTACAAATCCTCAGCAGTCGCTGGGTTGGTGTGGCTTGTTACAGGGGCGGATAAAGGATTTTTGTTATAGGGGGGGTCCAAACTTTAAAATCGCCAGACTAAGTTAATGGTTTGTTTATATTATACGAAAACAAATTAAATACATTTTTGAACGGGAGAGTCCGGACCGCAAGACCCCCCCTAGATCCGCCAATGTATTAGCTAGTGTATATATCTGGTAGCGTCGCTTATGTGTGGGATTCGAATACGACTACAACCTTCAGCACCATTGATGTGGTGAAACCTCATTGACAGTGCTGTGTGTTACGTTGCACGGAACGTAAACTTCAATTGATATCACTGTGGTGACACATACGTTGTGGAATACGGGAAAAGAGCCGAAGCATGCGCACTGCGTACACAATATGCTAATAACCTTTAACGAGGTTATGACGTAGACATAGCTCATGAATATTATTTGAAAGCGAAATTATTAATAGAAAGCATTTAGTATAAAAGCGCCGGAATCACATATATTCTGCTCTTTTGGGTTATTTGAAGACTGTAAACGCTTTCTATCATTCTAAACTGATCACCAAATTTAATAACTGTTTCTGCGGTTTACACTCAAATCTGAATGAGCTACGGCAAGCCTCAATAGGTATCGATTGTATACAGCGCCACCAATGGTCTATAGAATGATATAAAAGATACATTTGTTGAGTTCTTTTCTCTATCAGTCATATACTATGGAAGACTTTTTAAGTGTTGTTGGGAAAATTTGCATCACTAATTATTTTCTGAAGTGAATTTGTGTTGACACTGTTCAATACATATTGTAAGTTTTAAAGAGTGTCAAAAATAATATTATTAGTTCCAGGGACAGCTCTGAAACGCTTAATTGAGTTCGGGTTCTTTCTTTATCTTTTTTTTTAATATTCTTTGTTTCTTTTCGTTGGAGTGGGAAAATTTGGTGTATCGTCTCGTACTGAGACTATATTTAACTATCAAATCGTCAAATTTATAGGCACAAAAGTGTTTCCATTGAAATATTTGAGACATATTCTGTGAATAATATATGACCAGTTTGAATTGAGTTGGCGATTTGTTGCTGTACATATTTGTAATAATGACTACGGCTTTTAAAGCGGGAGGGTCGTCACCTGCGCACGCGCGGGAATGGAGACCCAAGCGTTTGTAAACAATGTCACGCTATGACCATCTGACGCATGCGCAGGTGACGACTCCCCCCTGCTTAAAGTAAGTTCTACGAAACCTAGCGCGACTGATAACACTATTTGACAGCTCACAATTTTGATGATACGTCGACTGTGTTGTCCCGGTAACGCTCTTCGCCCGACTGGGATACGTTCTCATGATATAACGATACCCAGAGCACCTTGAAATGTTTGAGTTGTTATTCTCTGTGGCGGGTATTTGTTTTCAAAATGAAGTGTGCTCTTGCAAGGAATATTTCATATGTATATTTTATGGTTGCTTCTGAATGGTGTTTTACTGCTGACAATTTCCAATATCTGGTTTAGTGCATATTTGAGCGACTTATCCAAATAAAGTGACATGTTACCACCATTTCTCTGTATTTTATTCACGTGTATTTTTTTCATTGGTTGAACATTCTGTACGCTTCTTTCCGGACATTTTCTTAATGAATTAGCAATTGATCTTCAAAAATTTGGACAATGATTTCCTAATATCAATAATGTGAACTTAGTTAGTTCATTTTCAAAATAAGGTTTTCTGATTGTTTGTGCTTGTTATATCAACAATGACTCACAAATGTCAGTTAAATGGTTCAGTATTTCTGGTGCATTATTAAAAATCTGTGAATTATTTACAATTTACTGATGTATAATAAATAAATGCATTATTCATTAATTTTGTTTACTGCTTCGTTTAAAAGAATGGGTTTACAATTTTTCTGTTGCATTTTTTAGAACCCGATCAAATTACAAATTATTATTTCTGTTTATATCAGTAATTCAGTTGAAAATTGATCTGATGAATTATATCCATGCATAATTTGATTCTTTCTTTCACTGGTTTCAGTCATAATGGGGTCACTTCTAGAATCTAAATACTCATTGAAACTGAAATTTGTTTATGTCATTGACGCGAAGTCTTATAATTATAACTACACTGTACAGATGCTGGACAAAGTACACTTTCTTACGTCCTAAAAAAATATCAAGGTAGTCGTTGTGCTCGTCCTCGCCATTATTTTCTTTGTCATATTTCCATGACCAAGGAACACTCGCGAATGAACGAGTCTCTGCACGTCTCCAAAAGTAATGTCAGGAAAATGACGTCATATGATATGGAAACGCGCATCCAGGCAATATATATCAAATCCTTTCCTAACCGATGGCCTGTGCATTGGTCTATGAACATAAAATATCTTCAAATGATTTATTACTAGGTATCCGTGGAATAGTGTATCGGGACACGGAAAGCCCAAAAGCACACTACATTACAATGCCTGACAGGAAGGTTAGTCTCAGCGTTGATAATTGATCTCTAGATGTTTGAATTTTCTTTTCAGAGATTTGCTATATTTCTGACGAGCAACTGAACAACTAAACACGGTTGTTTAGCTTTGACCCATATTACGTTATTTTGACGTCACGACATATCAGTCACTCGTATACGTCATTTTGACGTCATATTCGCGCTTGGTCGCTAGAGGGCGCAAATGATAGGAAATATATATTACCTGGTTTTCTCGTAAAACCATAATTCAATTAGTTAGTAACATACCTCATTATGATTGCTGTCGAAAATGCTACTGTAGTGCACACCCGTCAATCTTCGTCTCAGAATGGTACTGTCTAACTCACGCAGCGTTCGTATACGAAGGTACACATAAAGTGACATTGGGCGCTTAACATGGCTATACACTATATAGAATCAGCTTATGAAAGGGTACGTGAGATCAAAGTACCGACAAATAAGTAATTACGGGTATTCACAGCGACAATTTGATTGGTCGAAACTCTCCAATTTGCAATTAGGTAACCTTATATTTATGAACGAGCTATTGAACATTGAATTCAAGAATGATGCTAAATCAATTATAGACGATTGATTTCGACTTATTTGTGACAGGGATGGATTTAATGTGAGTGCGAACAATTTGAAAACAAAGTAATACAAAATGTTGATGAATAATATAACAATTAAAATATTCTGCTGATTAATATGTAATTCCATGGTGTGTTTCATTGCGTTTGAACATTTCATGCCCGAACATGTTTTGATAAACAACACGTTTGTGTTGAGTACAGTGTGAATAGATTACATACATTTATTTTTGATTAATTCATAACAATTTTAAAATATATTTTAGAAATATCAAGACATCTCAAAACCTCATTCTCCAATTTATCATTTCATTCAGAATTTAATTCAATCTAGTCCAAAATGTAAACCCGAATAAGAAGATTACGCAATATGCAAAGTATGTTTATGTAAATATGCAAAGATATCGACCATCCCA